TATGAACTTTAAGTGTGCCAATGTATAGATTTTAGTTACAAGTAATAAGCGAGCTATTAAACAATCTTTCATTCCGGATTTAATTGAAGATGGTTATATGTAGAATTTGATTATTTAGCACTATGATAATTTAAATAATATTTCTATTGTACAATAAAATAGCTATTTCAAATTATATTATAAATTATACAAAAATATAGACTCATTTCAAATGTTTAAAAATTTAATTCTATTTTTTAGCTCAAAATGTCGACAAAAATTAATAACTCAAACAAACAGCGAGTTTACGGGAAAAACAGTTTCGACCGTTTTGGCGATGACTTGTGTCAACAAATACTGTCTTACCTCCCATTCCCACAGAGATTTACGTTTGAATGTCTGTCCAAACAGTGGCAACGGGTCATATATGAGACACAGAATATTCTCGATATCAATGAACTTCACGAACAGCTATACGATTACAACAAACAAACCTCAATTGATCAAGATCGTTTTGAGATTATATTACGAAAATGCACAAATATCACCATGTTCATCAACCGTTTTGAAATGAATGAATCGGCATTTGAGTTAATTATCAAATACTGTATTAATTTGAATGCAATTGAATTGGCGTTTGATACTGCGCTAGGTATTACTGATGAGTTTGTTAATAGGTTTTTTACTGTTTATTCGAAACAGTTGAAAGTTATCAAGCTAACTGTTAGTCAATCACTGTTAAATTATGTTGAGATCATTCTAAAAAATTGTACTAGCTTAGAAAGTTTCAATATTCACCGTGATGATTATTCAAGCGATATATGCGTACTATCCTTGCTATTTGGAGCTAATACTACCGGTGCTGGTGGTGACCTAGTATATCATAATAACTTAAAACACCTCGATATTAATTATCACCAAGCTGACTCAAAATGTTTCGCAATATTTGTCAATCACTACAAACACGGCCTAAAATCAATTGACGTATCAATCGATCACTTTTGCGATGAGAACTCTCTGGAAGTCCTAATGACATGTTTGTCACAAATGGTGGCATTAATTGAGCTAAAGATTTATTTTCCGTTAATACAGTTATCGACAAAAGTATTGCAAACTTTTGGTACAATTGGTACTAATTTACGGAAATTGAAAAAACTTGAAATCTATTCCGTAGGCCCTATGGAGGGACTCATGGATACCATTAACGCGTGTTTTACTCACATTAAACGCTTGGATATAACTGCCTATCAATTGACCTATCTTATAAGACTTTCAAGATTCACCAAGCTGACTCATTTGCGTATTATTGGTACCGGAGAATGTAATACGGCATTGCACCCTGATATATTGCAAAATATTGTGAATAATTGCAAAAATGTGCGACACTTGTATCTAACGATTAATCATTTTCACAATAAGCTAGCACAATCATTGGCGTTACTATGGAAAGTGCAAACTGTTAAATTAAATCTATTAATTAATTATAATGAAAGTTATTTGACTCATGATTTACTGATGGGGAAAATTATCCTGTTTAATCCCGATTCAAGAATTGAAACAATCAAGGTAGAAAACGTGGATGAAAGACATACATTTTGTTACAAACCACGTGAATTTACAAAAACTTTATGTCCGTTAAGCATACATAATTAATAATTACTATTATTTTGTACACTATTTTAATAATTTGTTCAATGTGTAATATTAATTAAATTTTTAATAACATTAAATAAATATAATTTATACGTTTAATGAATTTTATTTATTAAATAAATAAATAGATAACTAGTACAGGGTGGTGTGACAATTTCCGTTAAACAATTTGCGATACAAACTTCGTGTATAATATAATTGTGGTTTTAATTCATATATATTTTCCCAATGATTTTTACAAACCAATTCTAATAAATCTAAAATTTTTAAGATTTTAATAAACTTTTCTTGAGCTTCTTGTTCAGTTTGATATTTCAAACATAAATAACGTCTCAATAAGTATTTGTATAAATATTATGATTTTTACAAACCAATTCTAATAAATCTAAAATTTTTAAGATTTTAATAAACTTTTCTTGAGCTTCTTGTTCAGTTTGATATTTCAAACATAAATAACGTCTCAATAAGTATTTGTATAAATATTGTTGATATCTTGAAATAGGGAAAGTAAATTTTTAATATGTTTATTGACTATATTAATTTAGTTTACCTTATCGTTTTAGGGTGCACTAGCTCAGTATATATTGGATTAAACAGTACAATTGCGGATAACTAAAAATATAATTTCATTTTTATATTTTCAATTTTATATTAAATCCAAAATATTGTATTATAATACAGTACTTACTATATCAATTAAAACAGGGTCATTTCTCCATTCATCGATAAATAAACAGTAAAATCTTATAAGCAAATTGTAAATATCCCTCGGTAAATCCTTTATATTTTTAAAATCGCATAGGATATTTAAATGATTACCCTAAAATAAAAAATTTAAATAAATATAAAATAAAACTTATTCATATAAATAATACTATACATACCACCATAAATACAAATTGCTTTTCTGTAATTAAATAGTAGGGTGCCCATCTTAACAGGAATACAGGCATCAAGTACTTTTTAAGTACTAGTCTATCGGTGTCGCATATACAATTAAATTCTGTTAAATTTAAATAAATTTGCGCGTACAATTTAGCATAATTATTGACTACAGGTGAGTAATAACATTTTTGTTCAGCCATCTCTTTGGAGTATGTGATCGCAAATTCTGTGACGTAATTTAGGGTAACGTTAGTTGCGTGTAGTAATTGTTGCAATTTACGACCCTCTAGTTCAGTAAATTGATTCTGGTAATCTGAGATAGGTTTGTCCACTGATATACATATTGGCAAATGAGAGTCCAAATAAACAAAATTTTTATCGTGTGACACATCACTTGAAAGCTCATAATTAATATCATCAGTAAAATCGGGAAACTCTATGATAGAGTCGCTGCGACTTGTTCCCTGGTCATTGTTAACACGTGAACTTATATTAATGTAAGTGTTAAAAACTGTATCCCCTTGGTTAATGAACTCCAATTCATTTTCCTTTTCATTATAAACAGGGTGATCCTGAAAATATAATTTATGTTTATGAATAATCTATTAAAAATTGTTAATATATTACCAAATATTTCATTCCCATTGCATAACACTTATTGAGGCGACACCTTGCACATTTTTTCCTATTTGTCTTATTGACAGAGCATATTTTACCAAATCGGCATACCAGTGCCTAATTAAAATAGTAAATTCAAAATATTTATTTAAAAAACAATAATTTATACCTTGTTATCATGATTCCTATGGAAAAACACTTTACACGAGCAACAGGTTATGCACTCATAATTATAGCCTAATATAAAAATATATTAATTAACATAATGAAAAAGAGTTATATCATAAAGGTTGTTTTTATAAAATTTACCTGATGCTATATCCCCGCAAATTAAGCATTCCAAAAACATAATTTTATAAATAATATAGTATTAATTTACAATATTTACTAAATTATTAGTATTATTACACTACATAAAATAATAACTTACAAAAATACTAGCACCATATTATATATTTCCATAGTGATTATCTAGTTGATGATGATATAATACATTCGCTAAACATACTGTAATAGTTTTCAATACTACTATTTGTGTAATATCTAGATTTATTAGACAGTATGAAAAAAATATTATATATCTACTATATATAAAATAAATATTTATAAAAAAGCGTAATGATTTTTGTGAACATAGACTTAAACATGCAATTATCGGCTCTAATATCAATTTGAATTATCATATAATATAATTTAATTAGTAAAATTTATTTCTAGTTTAACAAAATTAAAATTCACTAATAATATAACATGAATTATATTTAAATCAAATAGATTTTAGTATCGGTATTTGCTTGTACTCTAGGCTTAACTATAGTTTACAATATTTGTCCACAAAATACGTACTCAGTCTAAGCTCAAGATAAAAACGTATGAAACCTTATGTTATATTGGGGAGGGGGGTTATGGGATGTGTATGTAAACTAATTTTTGCATACGTACTTTTTGGATGCGCCAAAAAGTTATTATTATTTTCACTATTTATATATTTGTTAATTTATTTAAATATTATTTATGGTTGCCAGTACAATGCGTTTGTGTAAAATTTGTCAATGACAAATTAATATATAAAATTAATAAACAGGAAATATTTAAATTAACAAAATTGGTTAGCAACAGAATTAATGTCAGTATAAAATTATAAATGCGATTATAAAATAAACCAAGTATCAATATGAGTAAACTAAGTAAATAGTGTTTTAAATAGAAATTAATGAATGAATTTTTATTACAGACATCACATTCAAAACATACATTTCAATTATGCTTATATAATTAATAATGTTCAACAGTATTGATTGACCATATAAAAGCAATGATGAAATGTGTGTTTTGCATTAATATCATTTATCACTCATACACTTGTAGCAAAAATTGTTGTAATTATATTTAGCATGGCACTTTTATTTGTCGATGTACAAACAAGATATTGTACAATAACAATGAATCTTGACTATGAAAATTGTCACTGTTTTGCACTCACTGGAATTGAAACTAATGATATTAATACAATCATTGAGCAAGTACATCAAGTCAATTTAACTCAGCATGATAAATGGCTGTGCACGCGTGGAGATATTAGCATTAATACTATGCAATTAAATAGCTTGGACCCAAATATATTCAACGATATCTTTTTTGACACGGTTAAATCGCTAAGTATAACGATTTCAAAAATTAATGTTAATTCATATTATGTATTTTATGAAATGGGCAATTTAAATTATTCAAATAACATTGTAAACATGTACAATGCGATTAATAATATAAACAACCTAGAATACCTTAATGTGATTAGCACCAAAATTGTGCCCGATAATGCGTTTGGCAAGCTAGCTCATTTGGAAACACTTAGTTTTGAAAATGGTCTCGAAATTATATCCATTTAAAAAGTTGACCTCGCTTAAGTATTTATTTATTGTTAATCATAAACTAATGAAAATAGCGGACATGGCGTTCGCATTTGTCAACACTAGCCTACCTCTGGAGTTAAATATATATCTCGATTTGGCAAATAATATGATCCAGAACAATATATCTTTCAAAGTTTTAACGTTTCTTAATAGACCTGTTAATTGGATATTCGATGAATATGTTGACATTGACATTTAAACAAGGGGGTTTATGGTCATTTTTTAAACCAAACGCCAGCCAATAGTATACGTGTATTTAAAATAAATTGCCACGATAAACGTAATTGTTAAATGATGGACAATAAGCACCTTGATCAAATAATATATGAATGCTTTCAAGATTATTTTCTTATGCGTGATTGTATTGCAAGTAATGCTCACCATGTACAGTATAATTTTAATAGATACTTTTATTAGCGTCAATCATTTTTAAGCAACATATTTATAATATTATTAAATGTGTTTGTATTAACAATTTTTAAATTATAAACAGATGTGCTACCTAATATAACATAGTTTACTCAAATATGTACAGGGTCTATAAAAAAGAATTTAAACGATTTTGAAGTGGACCTTGATTAACATATGAATTGAAATAATTCAAATAATGTATGATATTAAAGATTTTATAGTTATTAGTAATAACTTATTACATTTATAAAGTTGCTTACGGTTAAGGAAATGACTATATTTTTTTATAAAAGGCTTAACTAAAAAATCTTCAATATATCATTTGAAATCTTTCAGCTCATATAGTAAAATATGAAAAATTAAATTTATTTATTATTCAATAAATAATGACAATTAAAAGAGAGTTAGTCTTTGAAAGGGATTTTAGTTTTTCCATTGAATAACATTGTAAAGCATTTCTATTTCACATGAGTACTAAAAAGCATGTATTTCTCTCATAGAGTTTACTATTGTTTAAAAATGGGTCTAAAGACTAACTCTCTTTTAATTGTCATTATTTATTGAATAACAATTAAATTTAATTTTTCATATTTTACTATATGATAATCAGGCTTTAAATGATATATAACTTTCAGTATTATTTTATCAAAAAGTACTATTGTACTGTATATAATCAAATAATTACTGTATAATAAAGAATTTGTTATAATTTAAAACTACTATGTACTGTAGTTAAATTATTAAGCATAAAATATTTAATTAAAATGAAACATATTAACTTATAACAATTTTAAATTGTATTTAATATTAAATGTTATATATCGTAAAACGATTAATACTGAACTATTTACATTTTACTTGTACATACTTTCCGCTATATATTTATATAAATTATTTATTTAAATGGATAATTATTTAAAAATGATATGTATTTTTAAATATATTATCACAAATAGTGTACATTCAATGCATACTATTTACCCCTTAAAACACAGTGAACAAAACTTATAAATAGTGTACTGTACACCTCAATAGTGTACATTTTTTCAATCTGTTTGCACCTGGCTACAGTAAAAGTTGTAGTACATTAAGTTATAAAGTTTTCGTAATAGGTATATCTATTCATCGCTCTGAAAGTAAAAAATGTACTTGTATATACACGTACTCGGATAATGACAGTAATAAATAGTATGGTATTTGAACTCATTATTACTGTACATATTAAATTTTTTTAATACTGCAATGAGAAGGGTGACCAAACCGCCCATAATTGTAGCGGCCAGTACTCTTTTTAGAGTGTATGTCCTATTTGTTTTAAGAGAGAAATAGTGAACATTGAAGGTCCTTAATTTGTGAAAATTATAAAATGCCTCATTTAGAAAAATTATTGAAACATAAGACTGCTTATGTAAACTGTATTCCACATTATCACCATAATAAAATCCGATCATTATTATTTATCGAAATTATATTTAAGTACAGCAAATAGGAAAATATGTTTAAAACTATTTCTGTTAAAAATTACTGCTTTACTTGAGATCAACAGGAAACATTTTCAAAAATTCTAATTCATTTACACTATAAAATATGTTGTCCACTATTTGTCTTCTATTTATTTAATTAGTTCATCAAAATATCCACTAATTACGAAACTTGAGTTGGTCACACTGGAAATGAGTAACTAACGCGTGGGTTACTAGATAATAATTATCAATAAATCTTTATTAAAGCACACATTAATAAATGATTTATTTTTAATAAAAACGAAATTTGTATTATTTTAAAACTATTATGAATTTATGCTATTGAATATAATATATACTAGTGATATTAAATGAAAATGAAACTTAAAATATTGATATTAAATTTAAAGCTTATTATAATTTTAAGTGTATTTGCTGTTTGTGAAGCAAGTAATAATGTAGCTAGCGAAATTAATAATTATAATAAACCATATTATTTCACAAGGAGTAATTGTATGGAAAATGAGGTCAGTGTGCACAACGTATGCCGGTGCGCCCCTAACTATTACCGTAGTCACCCAGCACAAAATTGTACCGAGTACACGTGTGATAACGATAAAAACAATCACTGCCAACCACCATGGGACATAATGCGTAAGTGCGTGGGTGGCATTTGTAAATGTTTCTCGGACGAATACCGTGAAAACACTAACAATGGACGTGTGTGCACATTCAATTGGAAACCCGATTGTACCAGTGACAATGATTGTTCAAGTAATGAAAGGTGCATAGAGCAGCATTGTCACTGTAAACCCAGTTTTAAATGGCGTGCCTGGACGGAAAGGTGTGTTCATTTTACTTGCACGGATGATATATCGTGTTGGTCACATGACATGGTGGATATAAGTTTAAAATGTAAAAATGGTACATGCAAATGCGATGATAATTATAAAGAAGATGTGAGTAATGGTGGGAAATGTATGTTTGACCCTGGTGATAAAAAATGGGTGACATGGGTGACAATTGGATCTATATTGGTGCTTATTATAATTATTATTGTCGTTCTTCGTTTTAAATATCGTAAACGCCCTGGTTAATATATTAATTGATTTAATTGCTTAAATAATTATTAATTATTTAAAATAATTTGTAAAACAAAAATACATAACAAATTATAAATAAATTAGTTTATAAATTATAAATATTTATGTTCAATTTAGTTGAATTATTGTGCATAATATATTTAATTAAATGATACAAATTAATTTAAAATAATTATAAATTGTATTTATTATTAAATGTTATATATTCTAAAATGATTAATACTAAATTATTTACATTTTTGTTGTACTGTTACAATACATACCTGTATATTTAATATGAGGATTTTAAATAATTTATTAATTTGCTCATTATTAACATTGTTACAATGTATTTTTAAGGTGCCAGCGTATGTTATGAACGATATAATGTATCAAGCACAGATTAATGCTCTCAATATTTGGACATCGTGAGATAAAACTATATTTGTAGTAACAGCATATTTAATCGGCACAAAATTTTCCTACGTTGAAAACCAAGCGAGCACAATTTAATAACAATGTGCTGCATCATGTGACAATGAGTAAAAGTGCAAGTTGAAAATGTCA